TTCGGGGAGATGAAGTTCTGGACATAGATGGGCAATGGCTATATAACAATGTGAATGTACTTAATGCTCATGTACAGTACACTTAAAGATCATTAAAATGGTAAATTTTATGTTATTTATGTTTTACTACAATAAAAAAAGTAACTGGAGGTGATCACCTTATGGAAATCCCACAGATCAGAAGGATGAAGAGAAAGGAGACTCTGAATAACTGGTATTTGAAGAACATTTAAGGCAAATCTCTCCCTGGATATTTTTTTGAAAATATTCTTCTGTGATATAGGAGGTAAAACGACACAGCAACTTTGAAATGGAGAGCTAAGAGAAAAATAATTTTAACATCCTAAGTTTTTAGCATGTTCACTTTTGAATATATAGAAGGACTAACCATATACAAGTACAGAGCTAGAAAATATTACAGACAGAAATATAAAATACAAAATGCTGTTATCCCAATCCTCAGGTAATTTATAATCTTACAGGAAAACATGTCTGTGAGTAACTTGGTGATAACAAAGACTGTGCTAAATGTGCATGAGTTATAAATACAGAGCTCTAGGTATGTAGGGGAGGAAGACATGAAGTCTGAGAACTCTTTCCCTCTTCTTCTCACCTACGCTATTTCTTCCTTCTTTGAGGTCCAGATCAAGACCCACTGCCTAAAAGAAGCCATTCCTCATTATTCTAACCCACTGTGGCTACTATAATCACACTCATAACTATGTGGAGACTTGTTCTTCTTATTCAATGGTTTTTGGTAGATGTTGTAACTTGGCATATATATATAAAAAACATATTATACAATATGTAATGTATGTACATTATATATACACATGTATATATGATATATATACACATGTAATATACATATATGTAATATATGTATATTTTATATTAGATATGTAACTTGGCTTATATATAAAAACATATATAAATATTTATATTTATGTAGTTTAATGTGCTCTCCATATTTGGTTAGAAACATCTATTGCTTTGGGGATGATAAGGATTATTAAAACAGGAGTGCAAGGAAAAGGAGGAAAATTGGGTTTTGAATCCATAGAGACATTAAGGTTATAAAAATCAAGCTTGGCCAAGAGAGAAGGGCTTTTTGAAATTCCAAAATCTCCTCTTTCCAGATCAGCAGCCAATCCCGGCAACCCAATGTTAGACTATTACCCTAACTTAGAGTGTAGAGAATAGACAAGAAGGGAAGTTCTCACCAGATAGGAAGAGGAGAGTTCTTTTCCAGATAAGGAGGAGGAGGATTTTGTGTGGATGTCCCCAGGATAAGAATATAGTTTGCTTCTCTGAGAATCAAAGGCCCTACCCTTCTTGGGCCTTGGCCAAAGGTGGGAAGTAAGTTGATTGAAACATCGGACTAGACAAAATGAGGTCTTCCAGAACACCCAGGACTGCTGCTCGGCCCCTCTATGTCCAAAATGGAGGGAAGTCTCAAGTAGGTGGGTCTCAGAGAGAGCTCTGAGTACACATGATGTGTGCATTGCATACAGGGGTACTGTGAGTTCCCATACCCCGCAGATTGTGGGGTGGGGGACAGAGGGGTGCTGAGAGTCTGTAACAGTGGGTTAGATGAGAAGAATAAAAAGTCCACGGCCTCTCCGACACTAATATATTTCAATGACTATGGGCTTCAGCTGTGAGCACCAACACATCACCCCCAAAAAACCGATGAGATTAGCCACAGCAAGCAGATGCCAGCACAAAATATTCAGGAATCAGACCAGACCAGCCTCACTCTGGTGGCCAGCAGTGAGGACAGCCCACAGGCACCCCCTTGTCCCGGAAGACATAGCTTTCCCTGCACACATCGACGTCTTGGGAAGGGACACAGAGGTGCTTCTTGCAAAAGGGAAAATAACCCTGCTTGAGCATTTATACTTGAAATTCACTAAATATTTGCCCAAATTAGACCAAATCACACTTAAAAAAAACTATTTTAAAATAAAAAAGATTGAAATGGCTTTAAGTGGAATACTTAAATCTACTCCACTACTATTGGTAGAAGTGAGGATAGTGGTTATGGGGGAAAAAAAAGTTTATTCTTTTATTTTTTGACCCATTAACTCAGAGTGTGTGAATGTTCACTCCTTTTTACATGTTTGACACAACAAACAGGCTAGAGTTTCCTGGAGATCTGTGGAATGCTTCATGTTATGTACTCAATAGGTGTCCCTAAATATATGCTGTATGAAGAAACAAAAAGAAGAAAATACGGATTTCGTTTCTTCCCTGCCTCTCATTCCACCAAAGCCAAAATAAATTATAAAACAGAGAGACAAAAAAAAAAAAAAAAACCATTATAGAAATCATGGAGAGACCTCTGTAAAAAGAACTGGTACTGGGAAAGTCATAGAGCTTAGTCCTTAGAATACGAATAATCATAGTCACAGACAGTCTTCCGGCAAAGCTTTCTGTCAATAAGCTGAGGCAAATATCTATCTAGACCAGTGAAGTCCCACAGAAGTAATAAGCGAAGTTTTCAATCTTCAAAAATGTTTGAGCATGTCTCCCCTATGGAAGAAAACCCCTAGAACTTCTCATAAATGGATATTTCCCTTGGGGGACTAATATCCTCTCTAGGGTCAAACTTGACTTCTTATGATGCGACGAAGCAGCATTCACAAGGAAGTCACACTTTTTTTTTCCCTTTCCTATTTTCTTATCTTAAAATTCATTTAACCTTAAGAAGTCATTGAACATCCATTTCTTTCTTTCTTTTTTTTTTTTTTTTCTGACTAGGGCTTTCAATAAGGGAAAAACTAGGGCAAATTTTAGACAAAGCAAAAGACAATCTTAAAAGTTGACTAGGCTACAGAAATCTAAATGACAAACTTAACAGGGCTGACTTTTCCTTGGTGTGCAAGACAGGCGTGCAAGGCTACTAACAATAGAACTCAGCACGAAGCCCTGTGGAAAGCAGGTGAATATTGATTCTTAGTCTTAAACTCATGAATAATGTATAAGGCAATTTTAGTTTAAAGATACAGGCATTGCTTTTTTTTTTTTCCCTGGCACGATGGTTTTTAGAAACTCAATATATTCAGTATCCCATAAAAAGAGTCTTCTCATTTTTTAAGAAGCCTCTCAAATTTCGTCTCATTCCTACAGCCTTCCCTGATCATCCAGTCCTCACCAATCACTGCCCTCTCTAAACTCCAAGAGTACTTATTGCCTGTAGCACTCACTGGACATAAGCTATTAGGCATCTTTTTTTTCCTTTTCTTTTCTTCCTTTTCTTTTCTTTTCTTTTTTTTAACAGACACTGTCAAATAGATAATAAAAACCCCCAGGGTAGGGGTCACATTATATTTCTCTTATTATTCCCAGTACCTAGCCTGGAGCCTGATCCACAGACCATAAGTGTTCAATAAATGTTTGTTGTTAATGATGATATGTTATAGACACATCTGAAACATAATCTGGATAAACACAATACTGGAAAAGTGCAAATCATCATTTAACAAACATGCAAGCCAAGAAATCAATGTGAGAGAGCTGTCTGAGCACCAAGTGAAAGACAAAGTAATACCCTCTTCCCTGCCCCAACATCTAACATGGTGATGGATTATACTACATAAAATTATCGATAAAGACCAATGTAGTCACAGTGATTTCTAAGCAGTAGCAAGAAATATTAGATACAAAATGTAACATTACAACAAAAGCAGCAGAACTGAGAGGCCATTGTGGAATAACAGATACATTCATCTGATGAAGAACCTCTTTGCAAATAAGTAACTTCAAGCATAATGAAAGCACAGAGCTTTCCTTTCCTCCCTATCTCCCCAACCCAGAGACTGAGATTCTGATTTCCCTCAAGATACACAGAATGCACGTCACTTGCCCCTTAAACAAAGGAGCAGGAAGGCAAACCTGAGCATTCGACTGTTGCCAAAACGAATCCAAACCTTTCAAATGAGTTAAGTTCTCATGATATGAGTCAGGTTGAGTAAATGTATGCAATTCTCATTTACATAAACACAAAGAGTAAAATAATCTGCTTATTTCTTGTCTGAATTCCTATCTTCTTCAATAAGGTTTGGCTTAGTAATGTAGCAGCAGAAGTTTGGGTCAAATCTATCCAGCAATGAACTTTATCTCACCTATCTCTGCCACTCTTATACCCTTTCCCTACCTATACCCTTCCTTTCATCCTGGCAGGTGAGGGATGCTTAGGCAGAAAGCTCGGCCATTTCTATTGATCGTATTATAGGTAACATCTTCAGCACTACGATTGGTCTGACGAATGTGAAACAATAATAAAAGCAGTCAGTCCAAACTTCCCTGGGCCCTGGCAGAGATCTGGGGCAGATGATGGGAAAGCAAGAATCATGGGTTGATACTTTCCCCCAAAATTGTGTATGCATTACTGTCACTTAAGCAGCCTGAACAGGATTATTCATTTAACTGGTCACTTCACTGGAACACTGATAAGGATTTGACTGGTTTTTAATAGCATTTACTAGTTATGTGGACTAATTAACCAATCAATAAGATTTAAATCGGTACATTTACTCCTCACCTCATCCTCTTCCATGTTGCTGAGTCACTTTTAACATTTTGAATAGGATGAAGAACTTACAAAACTAATTAGCTGTATAGACAGAGCCATAATGGCCTGCATTTTCTCCACTATTATTAATGCTTTTGGTATATAAAAGCTACTAGCTAAAAAAATGAAAACTGAATACCATGGGTTAATCTAGGTATAGTAGTAACAATTCCTATAACCAACTTGGCTTCCTCCATAGCTAAAGGATGACCAGTTCCATCTCATCTCTTTGAAACAATTGACTGGTGGCATCTTTTTGTGGGTCAATATTCTCATTGAAAGAAAGAACATATTTTTTCCTGAAAAAAATATATAAAATATTCCTAAATTTAGTGAATTCAGAAAGCCATATTATTACAGCATACAGAGTTTTCCTTCTAGATCCTGAAGACATGGACTTAATAAATGATGCAGGTCAACTCACGGTCATTCAGGTCCTGTTGGCACAATGAATGGAGGTGCTCCAAGCCTTTTCCTTGTCTGTAGGTAGAGGTGCAAATATTTCAATGAGATATAATCTTGTTCAGAAACACCCAGGATGAAAACTGGAAAGTGTCTGCAAAGAAATACAGAGGAGCTTTTTCAGCTTCGTCGCTTTTTAGGATGATGGAGGCAGCCTACAAAATGGTGAGTGGGAGCAATGGCTGGAGCAAGCCTAAGGAGGCACTATGGGGCAGAAAGTTGGATTCCCCCACTAGATGGCGCCAGGACATATCTATGGCAAACGTGGGTACCGTTACCATGGCAGAACAGAGGGATCGGATCAGTTTTCACAACTCTGTATAGGCCAGGTCCTAATGGAGTACCAACGGACTAAAGTGAGTGTATGTGGGTGTTTTATACCTCCTTAGGTTTGACCCTACATTGTAGGGCACACCATGGGTGGCATATGTGTGTGTTCTTTGGAGTATGATTGTGATTGTATCTCTACACATGTGCACACATATACAATATAACACACATGCACATTAGATTATGTAGATATGGGATCAATATAGGTGTAGCTACAGATTGGGGGCCATTATTACAATAAATAAGGATCACGTTGGAGGAAGGGGATTAGCTTCTGTTGCATGTACTGTGTGCCAGGCCTTTTCATGTGCTTTCTCATGTAACCTTCACAACAGCTGCAAGAGGTGCCTACTATTGCCCCATTTTCACCAAAGGAAATTTGATGGACTTTGTATAGGTTAAGGAACTTGTCCAAGGTCACATAGCTAAGGAGTTACAGGGCTTGGATTAAAATCCAGTTCTCCTAAGCTTCAAAACCATAATACAGTCATGCTTCATACCACATTGACTCGCTACAGTTTCTTACAATGTGCAAATTAACTCCAGGGAATATGGTTTGTGGTATGTTTGCACAAATAATACTCACATGTGCATTATACAAAATGAAAATACTTTCAATGCAAAAGTTTGATCTATGTTGGACTACAAATATACATAAAAAGTTGAATAAATAAGGCATTCCACTTTCCCCTCTTCACCCCAGGATAATTATTAAAGACCCCTATCAAAGAAAAATACATAAGTATTAATTCCAATATGTGATTCAATTAAAATGGGAGTCATTTAAAAGAATATTAACTAATTTTAAAGTGTGGATATATCAAATCCACATGTATACCTAAATGAAGCCATTCACTACTTTCCTAAAAATACATTAGCATTAAGGTAACAATACAAGTTCCATTTGTGTTGTAGGAAAAACCTTTTCTATTGAGATGGTTGGCTCTCATCTTAACTCTGCCCACTTGGCTTTAGTTTATTGTCACTGGAGACTTTGTAGCCTTTGGGCATCAGCCTTTTAACTTTCTTTTTGTCCAGAAAATGCATTATTCTGTACATTGTGTTTTTGTGAGACAGACTAAAGAATGTAGTGTACATTGAGTGTTTAGCACAGTGTCTGGCAAAGAGTAAGTGCTGAATAAAAGTCAACACTAGTGATTATGATGGCTATAAGGAAGGAGAAAAAAGATGCAGAGGAGGGAGAGAGCAGAGAGAAGAGAAGGAGAGTAAGGAGGAAAGAGAAGGTAAGAAGAGAGAAGAGAAGGAGAGTAAGGAGGAAAGAGAAGGTAAGAAGAAAGAAGATGATGAGGACAAGAGGGTAGAATTGTGGAGAGATCAACAAGACAATTAATTTGAATTAATTTGCAATTTTTTTCTTCTCCCCAAATGTTAAATAAGTCATTTCAAACAGTGTGGAATTTGAAATATCTGCCTTGCACACTGCAGATCATTCTATTTTTCACCTTAAACTTCGTGCAGTTTTCTGTTTGGTCTAAGATTGGTTAGTTTTCCTACAGGCTAAAGACTAATGTGCTAAGAACTGAGCCCCCGGCTGAGACTGTGGGATTGAAAAGGGGAAGAAAGGCAAACAGCATTCCATCAAGTTGTACTTTGGGCACTGGGAAATATGTTGGTTGTGCTGTTAAGAAATCGACTTTTTGGCTGCATGATAAAGGGTGAACTCTGGCACTCCAAAACTGGATGGAAGTCATGATAGCTCCCTCTAGAAAAGTCAAAGCAAAATAGAGATATTTTCTCTGGTGCTTCAGATCTGAAAGTACATTATCTGAAATGAGAGACCACAACTCAGGAAAAGGGGAAATAGGAAAATATTCTCTGTTGCCTTTAATAATAAAATTCCACTTAGCAAATTTCCTAAGTAGATTTTTGTCGTTCTGGGCCCCAGTCTTTGTTTCTTTCATTTGTGTTAGAGAATATTTGAAGTTACATGGAGAGAAAAATAATAGTAGTGTTAATAAAGCCTAACATGAATGAATCACTTACAGAATGCACAGCACCACATTCCATATTTTATATCACATTACGCTCAATACAATCCTATACATTGGTACCATATTACAAATGAGAAATTTAAATGGTTTGGTTAAAGTTACACTAGTAGATGGCAGAGCAAAAACTCAAGACCAAGGGTAAGCTGAAGCCACTACCAATTTTGTGGTCCATGATACTGCACTTAGATGACATTCAAAATGCCTGTGGCAGTGCCTGGCACACCGTAGGCATATGACAATACTCAGCTTTACTTTCTTTCAAAACAGCATCTCGCTCTGTTGCCTAGGTTGGAGTGCAGTGGAGAAATCATCACTCACTGCAGCCTCGAACTCCTGGATTCAAGCAATCCTCCTGCCTCAGCCTACTGAATAGCTAGAACTACAGGTGCACACCACCATGCCCATCTAATTTTTAAATATTCATAGAGGCAGGGTCTCACTATACTGTCCAGGCCGCTCTCAAACCCTTGGCTTCAGGCTGTCCTCCCAAAGTGCTAGGTTTATAGGAATGAGTCAACATGCCAGGCCACCTTTGTTTTATTTAAAGTAGTACTGCTCTTGGAGTGTTATCTCTTTCAGTAAAGCTCCATTTCAATCTGTACACAGTTTTGGAGAATATCAGGTGCAGAAAGTGATACCAACTTCAATCTATGGGTATGAAATATTCATTCTATCCTGGATGTTTCTGTTTTGCAGACCCTAGATCTTGGCATAAAAGCCTAGCATCCTTCCCTGGGCTCAAGCGACCATGATCTGGAGACAACAGTAGGGGTTGCCTGCATGGATATTTGAGGAGGTAAGACATGCGTTGGTGAGAAGGAACACTTCTGATGCTATGGGGCTTTCTTTTCCCATCCCATTTGGGGGCATTTATACTGACATGGTATGCATAAAGTTGTAAAACTAGAGGAAAATTCTAAAGCTTGTCCTTGTTTCCAGTAGATAATTTCCTGAGGTATTAGAGGACTATAGCAAGTGGAATCAGGAGCGCTGGGCATAGTTGCAACCAATTAATTATTGCCTCAATAAGAGAACATGTCCATCAGCTATACTCGCTGTTGAATCAAATAGCTTGATTCTTTCCCTGCAGTCTCTTTTTATCTTCTTAATCTTGAAAAATAGGTTAGCAAGATAAATGAAGAAATCAAGGTCCATAGCAGTCCAAGGTTACACCATTAGATTCTAACTAACTTGAAACCTAGGCTTCTGATTTCCCAGTCAAGAATAATCTTTAAGACATTTCTACAAATTCTAAAAGATTCTTTACTGGGGGAAAAAAAAGCGAGGCGGGGAGGGAAGATTCTAATTACTTTAAAATGTTCAGAAAATGCAGCATTCTCTATCATCCTTTCAGAAATGAAAAATGTACATTTTACATAGTAAAGTCTCTCATAAATCCTGCTTTAAATTTGTAAAACCTGATTTTACCTGTAATTTCTATACATTTTGACCACAGTTTTTGTTTTGTTTTGTTTTTTGTTTTTGAGACGGGGTCTCACTCTGTCGCCCAGGCTGGAATGCAGTGGCGTGATCTCGGCTCACTGCAAGCTCTGCTTCCTGTGTTCACGCCATTCTCCTGCCTCAGCCTCCCAAGTAGCTGGGACTACAGGTGCCCACCACCATGCCCGGCTAATTTTTTGTATTTTTAGTGGAGACGGGGTCTCATCATGTTGGCCAGTATGGTCTCGATCTCCTGACCTCGTGATCCACCTGCCTCGGACTCCCAAAGTGCTGGGATTACAGGCATGAGCCACCGCGCCTGGCCACAGTGTTTTTTTTTTTTTTTTTAAATGTCTGTTAGTTTCCAGAGGCACCAGTATTCCTCAAAATGCATTTTTGATCATACATCTCAAAATGATTCAAAGCCAGTTCTGACAATGTTGCTTATTAATAATAGAAATAATAATTTCTTTTTACTGGTATTTCTACGTTCAGACTACCTCATTCCATAATACTACCATATCTTTGCAACAGGTCTCCCAAACCCCCAACTTTTTATATCTGATTGATTCTCCATGCTCCTACTAGATTTGTCTTCCCTAACTACACTCACTCTGCCCTCTTTCTACTCTGTCATCCATCATGACACCCCTCTCTTCTCAGTATAAAACCCAACTTCTCAGTCTGCCATTTCAGTCTCTCTCTCTCTCTCTCTCTCGGTTCTCACTCCGATGCTCTGTAAGGTGGGCCCTTCAGTTTAACTAATGAGGCTTACTCTGATCCCTAACCAGGGCACACACGTTCCTGAGTCCCCTGCCTTTAACGTCTCTTATTGCAGGTTCCTCTGAAAGCAGAGGTGGACCCAGGGATGTTGTAACCACTGTAGTTGGCCACCTGTGTTAACTCATAAGCCTGTCATTAGCTCTTATGTCTCTCAAAAATGAGTGTCCACAAGCAGGGTCACTGTTGATGACTCAGCAACTCATATGATTTTATTTCTTAACTATCACAACAAAGTTTATTATTATAGAAGTTAGGCATACTTCAAAGAATTGCATTTGAGAAAAAATATATACATTTTAGTTCTGTATTTTAAACAATTTTATTGCAATGCTAGATCTCCAAGCCCAAGTTTTTGTGTTGGTTATAGAAGTAGCTTTAGGTGGCCATGGGCTTGTGAGAAGTGCATATCTGTTCTCTAGGTGGTTACAGCTTTGTCATAGAGAGGTAACTGCAGAAGCCGCAATGGATGTGAAGACCGAGAGGCTGAGAGGGCAATTCATAGTGAAAAGGTCTGGCTTTGGGTCCCAGTTTTATGGCCGACTCCTGAATGATTTTGAGAAAAGCCCCTTAACCTCCTGAGTAGTAGTTCCCTCAGCTGTAAAATAGGAAGTCTAATATTTAAACTCATAGGGTTACTGTGGGAATTCACTTTGATAATTGTTGTAAATGCCTTGTCAATTATAAGGGGCTATGCAAATGTTTTTATTAAGAAAACATTCTGGGCATCTCTAGCTTTTTTAAAAAACATGCAATACTACAAGTATTTCTAACCACCCTAAACTAATTTCTATCATGAAACATGATTCCCCTATGTCTGTGTAATTGCTCTATGACCCATCTCTAACTCTCTTCACATTCCATTTGGCAGAGTCAACTTCTTAAAAAATTATTCTCTTTATTGTTTGAAGGCTGATGGTCAAGCTGTTGTTAGCAACCCAGTTAAGTACTATGACTGAAATTTCCATTTTAGATTCTGATTCCAACCTTAGATTTTCAACTACTCACGTGCCACACACATATATGCACACACATTATTAGGTTTATTTTTCCCCTCCCCTTCTCTTCACTTTCCTTCCCCTCTTCCATCCCCTACACTTACTTTCTTTTTTTTTGTTTCTTTCTTTTCTTTCCTTTCTCTCTCTCTCTATTCCTCCCTCCCTCCCTTTCCTTCCTTTCTTTTCCCCTCCCTCTCTCCCTTATCCTTCCTTTTCTCCTTTTCTTCCTTTTTGTCTTCCTTCCTTCTCTCTCTCCTACTTTTCTCTTCTTTCCTTCATGTCACCATCTCTCCCTTTCCTCCAACAAGAATCTATACACATTCAAATAAGAAAATGCCACATGAATCTTTGACTACAGTGGGATATTTTACCTCTACCTTGCCCCTGTCTACTTAAAATGCTTACAAAGCCTCACCATTTTTTTCTAGAGCACACAGATATGCTCTAGTAGTTAAAAAATATACCTAACTGTATGCTATTTACCATTAGGTGCCAGAGTAAATGATATCGTTAATATGCTATTTACTACGCAGATTACTTGAATACTGAAGAATATTCCCAGGCATTCCATGTCCTATTAGGGCAATACATTTTCTATGATATGATGAGAATTATTGCCTCACTGGACCAGAATAGTCTTGGAGTCCGTATAAAGGCCCTTATTTCCACAATGGATTGAAAGACAACAGGTTCTGATTTTTGGGATATTCAGTTTGTAGACTGCTGATCTGTTAATGGATCAAGTCAGCATCCTGTGGGTATCCTTAGCTCTTGGTGTGTGTAACCCCCTGTCCAGAGGCCTGAGTTGCAGAACTCCACAAACTAGTACCTGCCTACCAGCTCTTTATGGCACTCAACTGCTCAGATTATTTTTGTCTTTAAAATGTAGTGTTTCAGCTTTCCTTAAAACCTACACAGGGAAAGTAATATACACTAGGAAATAAAAGATTTGCAAAAGATGCTCAATTATAAAGGAGAAAGGCATATAAAAATGTAAGCATAGAATTTTCAAACCGGATGAAATATAATAAAGTTATTTGCAAGTTATTGCACAGTAAGGCTAACTTTGCTGAATAGTCTTAGGCAGGACTCATTTTTAGGCCAAATCTCTCTCTCTCTCTGTGTGTGTGTGTGTTTACTGATATTTCTGGAGGATCATTGTTAGGGCTTCTTTAATCGAATACCCTCATGTCACAAATGAAAAAGGGACCAGGAGAGATGGGAAAGGTGAGCCAAGAATCTGATCTTTCAGATTTCCAGGATTACAGCCTTTCCATTGCACCAACAGTCTCTCAGGGAAGTATGTTCTCCAGTGACTGAGCTGCAGGAGCTACATGGGACACTACATGAAAAGGTCAAAAACTTGATTTCATCACCATCTGGTCTACTAGAACAATTATCTTTTAAATTTCAGTGTAAAGATCAACTCTGTTTTCCATGACCACTCTCTCACATATGCAGATGAAACAACACATTTTGCTCCTATATTTTCATGGCCTATCCATCTCCACTGGCCTCTTCAAATCATCTTTTGGATTCACAGTAAATGGAGAGTCTTCTGATTAATGTAGAGCTCTAGGCTGGAACTGGTGGACTAAGTCATTACTTTCCTCTTTTCTTTGTGATTCCCCTCCCTCTTTCCATGATGCTGTCCTCCTGCACTAGCATGGAAGGGGAGAGCAACAGATTCCTTTGTTGAAATCACAGGGATTCACATAGGGTAAGTGCTCACTCTGTTTGTTCAATAAAAGAATGAATGGATTCCTGGATTGGTCCAGCCAGGGACCATTCTCTAAGGCCTTGTTCTCTGAAGGATCCACGGAATCTTCAAGTTTATAATATGTGAAACACAGAAAAGATTTCTAAAACTCACTATGTTGGTTTGCTAGTGACAGGATTTTAGCTTCAATGCAAGAAGTGAAGTCTTAAGTGGTGTGTCTTTGAATTGCATCTACCCAATCTATTTTTCCATCAAGGGCTCTTAAGCACCACCACCACAATGACCTTTTCCCTACTACTGTGTTTAACCCCCAATGGTCCTCATTATATGGCTCAGTTCAACAAATGCTGATATACAGCTTTGTCTGCTCCTTCCATCCCCAGATAATTTAGAGTTGATGCTAATAAAATGTTTTGCAACTTACAGCATGAAGTCATTAAAGATCCTCTGTCAGGTAATTGATAAAATAACAGTCCAGCCCATCCTTTGCATTCACTGGCTTAAAGTTCATGCAACCTGTACTTGTATAAATTATACCTAAACCACCTTTGGCTTGCTGATTTGAGAATATCATCCATCATCCCTCAGTGGATGAATGGTGATACTAATCCCTGGCCCTTTATACTGCCTGAAAGCTGGTGCTGCTAGGGGAAGGTCTAGGCCCCCATGCCATTAGGATGCCGGCATGCTGGGGAAAAGAATCTCGACACAGAGAGGTCCCTATGTCCAGTACCAAGTGGAAATTCCCAGTTCTCACCTAGTTCCATACCATGGCCAGGGACATAATTGTGCCTTAATACTTACATCTTCTATCGAGGTCTTCTGACCAAAGCTGAGGGAGCTGATACCCAAGGGAGGTATTTCCTCACTCAGCCAACTCTCCTCCTCCCTTTCTCTTCATGCAAACTTCTCTCTTTATGCAACATTAGCATAGGTGGAGTGTGAGGCAGAGGAAAGTTTCTGGCAAGCAATGAGGTAAGTACCTTCTCTGGGAAAGGTGTTTTGTTTCTTTTTTTAAACCTCAATGATAGGTTTAAAATTGGAAGCTGCTTTTAATTTGTGAAAATGCATTGGTTGAATTTGGCTCACTGATATAAAATCATGGCTTATATGTCCAATAAATTTTCCCTTGACATCAGCCAGTTAACCTGAATATCAGGCAATGAATTGTTGACTATCACTCTTTTATTGCTAATGCCAATGAGCACTTGGCTTTTTAGCCACAATAAATTTACAATGTATGCATTACTCTTGAGAGTGTTATTTATAAGACAAAATAAGAATACATGGTCACTATCATTGACTTTAAACCCACACATATACCAAATCTAAACGCACTGATAAGCAATGTTCTCAGAGGTCATCAAATGCCAACTCTCCGTCAGACCAGTCAAAAGTTTCCACAGCCCACAGGGACTGCACAAGCCAGCTCTACAATCACACATGGTGACGGTGGAACAGACAATCAGGTAGGCCCAAAGGTTTCCATTTAATGGCCATTCAGTACACCTAAAGAGCTGGAATAGATGTTTGAGCTTTCTCCCATGTGCACAGATGGAGCTGTAAATATGTCCTCTTGTTCTCCTGACAGGAGCCTCAAGAGGTTGATTTTCATCTGTCCCAAATAAACTTGTTGGAACTCTTAGGGGATTCCTTTTAGATTTTCTTATTACCACTCTGGAATAATGTGCAAATAATTATGTAACAGTCTACCCTTTGTTTGAATGAACATTATTAAATATACAACAATTATCACATATAGTATATTCTATGTGCATACAAGCCCCTCAGGATAATGCCTATTCCCAACCCCTACAGAAAAAAAAATGTGATTTATGAATATTCACTCTTCAAGTCTGTAAAACTAACTCTCAGATCGTGGCACTAAACACTCACTGCTCTGGCACCTACACAGACTGGTTGGAGAATTCATGCACTATAGTGTTTGACACACTCATTCTCTCAGGTAAAATACTGCAGGCAAGACCGCATAATTCATTAGGCTGATACAGCAAGGCTGAATAATTAGATCATCTCTTTGCATAAGGCTACATTTTATGATGATATTTTTAACATTATAATCTAAATTGGTGTTGGATTAGGGTATGGGGGGCTGTTGAAAGTAAACGAATTAGAAATTGAAAGATGCCATATGTGAAATCACAACTGTATTACTCCATGCCACCAAAAGTAGTATCCCATCTTCAAAAGGCTTGCAAATTATCTATACTATTGACTGACGAGCACGTCAGATATTTTAATAATAGGAAAGTGATGATGTACATACATACACACAGTGTTGTATTTTTATTTTGGTAGGTGGGAAGGGAAATGAAAAGAAACTTAGAAATCAATAATGTCTCCCATGTGGAGGTAGAAAAGAAGGATTTCTAAACGTTAGTAAGAAGAGACAACATTAAAGAAAGAGCTATGCCTTACCCCACAGTTCCGCCTGAACCTTGCAGTGATGGTTTTGAGAAGAGCAGTCAATGTCACCTAGGAGACCACACTGGGTAAGAATGTGGAGTTCTTCTCAGGTGATCAAGGCAAAGAAGACAGCCGTCTTGGAAGGCTCGTAGGTGTCCAGGGGCTTGCTCTCCTGGGTTGCTCTCCTGGTTCACTCAGTCCTTCCCCACTCCTTAGTCCCTCAGCACTAATGTGGGTCTGTCATTTCAGGAGATTTGCTTTTGAAGTACCTCTCCTTGGACTACTCTCATTAGCATCCTGTTCTCCTTCAATGGCCAAGTGATATGTAAGGACTTGATTGTTTTCCCATTGGAGAATTTGCTTCTTAAGTAGCCAGACAACCCATCTCAGCGGCCCCGCCAGAACCACTGGAACGGTGATTCTTCCTCTGGCCACTCTGGTTCTGCTTGGTCTCCCCTCTACCATATGGTTTCCTCCTTTTTTTTTTTCTTTACACATTACTGAGAGGTTAAATTTTTACAAATCTTACTGTCTTTGAGCTGATGGAAGATAAGGAGGACTTGTACACCTGGCCTTCTCTGGGTGGAAAACTCCATTTGAGAAACTAATTGGCTATGTTGAATGTTGGTACATGAGCATACTTTATGATGAAACTCAGGTGGGAGAGGCAGGTTCAAAGAAGAGATCAAGAGAAACTCTTCCCATAGAATCAGATTCCCTTCTCTTTGAGAGAGGACCAGACTGAAGTCCAGTTACACCACTGCAGTAATTTCCAAACTGAGTAACTTAAAACTAGGAGACTAGAACCCCAGACTTCATCATCCTCATTTCATTCTCCTCCTCTTTGTTGTAATTATCACAAAAAGAAACAAAAATAATATTTTACTCCCCAGTGTTATGTTTCATAACAGTGAGCAGAACAACTTGCATATATTTGCCTCAAGCATTGGGTAAAAACTCAGGCTCACTTGTATTCACTGCTTCCTTTGAACATCACATAATTGGTCCCTAGATTTCTCTGAAATCTTAGATTTTATTCTGAAAACCTTACATTAGCTATGACTTCATCCTAAGGATCAACTCTCTTTAAGCCTCAATATCTATTCCTTGCCTTTGGAAACGAAACTGTTTTTCCAAAGGCTCAGCATGCTGTCCCTTGGGCTTTTACTATATCTATAGCAACCACTCTGTTGGGGAACCTTACAAATAAAATCAGGCTTTGGAGTCTGGGCACACATAAAAGATACATTGCAACAATAAACATTTAAGTTGTTTTGTTTAAAACAGCAACAATAGCTTATTAATACCTGCTGAAGTATTGCCCTTAGTTCTGATTAAAGAAAAAGGATTTTGTTTCTTGAAATTTAGTATATCTCCAAGTTAATTTGTTCTTGCATTTAAGAAATGTTCATTTGATAATTCATTATTAGACCCATTCTTAGAAGAGATGGGTGGTCTGAATTGCCAATTAAGGGTGAAATTCTCTGTTATCTTGGCTGAATTTCTTAATTTTCTCCAGGAGTTACATTTCTCCATTTTGAAAGTCTCCCCTTTCAAATAAATCTAATGATTTCATAAGGCCATTCACCCTATTCCTGTGAAACTGACAGGAGAAAAAGTACCAAATATTTTGTGAGAGTGAATAAAGAAAATAATGTCCAGTCATGTTGGATTCAATGCCATATTTCCTTTTAGTCAATAATCTACTCACTAAAACAAAGATTCCTTGGAGAAGTCGCTGATTCTAAGGCTGAAACAGGAAATATACAAAATGAGCATAGAGAATCTTTCAATCCCAGAAAGCAAGAAGTATTTAATCACACACACACACACACACAAAATACACATATATATACATGGAGGTGTTAGATATATCAAAGGAGCACAAGAGCCAAGAGCTTCCAATGGCTCAAGTTGAAACAACTTGAAAAACAAATAAAGAAGTGAAGTAAAATAAATATCCATGAGCCCATACTGATATAAATGAATTACTAAATAGATAAATGAGTAGAATAGTCAAATCTCCCATTCAGAACCATTCCAAATAATTGATGTGGATACTCAGCCCTCAAGAAGATAGAACTCCTTATTCTTTAAGTGGGCTGGCCAAAATGATTACCTTCCAAAGAGTGCATACAGCATGCTCAGGGGAAAGGGGAGATTTCCTGACTAACACTACCTCACATCTCAAATGATATCATCTTTTTGTATCCTTGATAGGAAGTGATGACAATAGCACCTTTCTCTGTGGTATTCCTCTAAAAAACCATACCACCACTCTAATCAGAATTAAAACATGAGACAAATCTACAGAATACCTCACCCATAGTCCTAAAAACTGTTATGATCATTGTCATCAAAAAATGGAAAGTCTGAGAAACTGTCATAGCCAAGAGAAGCCTAAAGAGACATAATGACTAAATGTAATGTGGTACCCTGGATAGGATCCTAGAAAAGAAGAGGTAAACACTAATAAAAGTATAATAATTAATCAATATTGGTTTGTTAATTGTGATAAATATACCATAATGATAGAAGCTGTTAATAGAGGCAAGCAGGCATTGGGTATTTGGGAGGTCTAACTTTGCAATATTTCTGTAAGTATAAAACTATTCTTTAAGTTTCTTTTTAAAAAAGAAATCTACATATTGCATCTCATGCAAAGCCTAAGTGCATGAGAACAATGGCATTCAACAGGTGTTACTGAATGTGAAAAACTAAAATTTGTTCCTTAGTCTCTGTGAGTTTACCCAAAGTAACTTTCTACCCAAGAGTTTTTTAATACTAAAAATGACTTTGAGGGTAGAAATGGCATATGAAAAAAGTAAATTCTATGGTAGAAAAATCAGAAATAATTTCTCAGCAATGAAAATATTGCCATTACTTATACACACAGCAGAACTTTAAAATGATGATGCTCATAAGAGACTAAATTTTACTTCAAAACACTTTCACATTTATTTGCAATTTCAAATTACTGCACTAATGTATTGATAAAGGTAAGGCAGGCATTAGTTTCTCCATTTTGAACATCCAAATCTTGGGGCAAAGAGACACATGTTGAATGTATTTAAGGCAGAGAAGTGTTTCCTAATCTACATATTGACCACAATCAGGTTGTGGCTTAGGCAAGCTGATTCCATTTTCCTGGGTTTAGTTTTCCTGTCTGAAAAATGAAGGATACTTCCATAGCAGAGAAAAGTTCATGTATAATCTTTTCCCCAACTCCAAACATGAAGAATACAATAAATCTATTTATATTTTAAAATAAAAAACTGCACTAAATATTAAGAAAAAAATTCAAGGATCCCAAAAGAAAGAAAATCTATAGGTATAGGCAGAGGTTAAAGCCCCGTGGCCACCAGGGAGTTGAAAGTAGCTCCATATGATGGCCCAGCTGGGGTCCTTTAATGGGGACATATGGGCTCCTGATCAGACACAGACTGCACTTCATAGAGATTGGAACATCCCCTCTTGTCTGCCCAGGGTGGCTTCTAGAAACATGGTGTTTTTCCAAAACCTACTGCCAAAGTCAAGATTCTCACATGATCATGGTTCCCAGGCTACTGTAGGTATGAGTATTAAGAATGGAATTGCCACCTTTTTGTGAAAGGAAAATTTCAGCTTAGCTGCTAATATAAGGAGTCCTATGAATCCAGACAACCCCTACAACCAAGAGGTTTGAGGTGACATCAAATGGCTTTACAGGAAGGAGCACAAGAGAAAAATTCCTGAGAGATGAGTGAAACCAAAGAAATGGGAGGTTCTAATTCAAGAAAATAGAAATAATGTGAAAATCTGAAAATAAGTTTTAAAATGAGTGTCTATGAAATCCTTAAAGAAATTATGGATGGAGGTGAGAAACTCAACAATGAGTTAAATACTAGGCTGACACAATTAATGAAATTGTAAAATGAAAGAAAGAACTGAACAAATTTTTCAAGATGAAGAGAGACAACATGATTTTAAAAAGTGAAAGTGAAATTAACAGACTTGGAGGCTAAGAAGCACCAATATCTGTCTGGTAAGAATTTTAGAAGAAAGGAAAATACAAATAATTGGGAAGCGGGTCTAAAAGAGTTAGGTAATAACTAAAATTTTCTAAAATTAAAGACATAGGAGCCTCCGGATTAGAAAAGCCCAGTATGTGCACACAACAGGAGGAATAAAAATAAACCTACACATGGGCATTGCAACGAAGAGACCATAAAATCTACCAATCTGGTTGGCAGCTTATTTTTCATTAATAAAAGAACCTGGTGAAAGTGTTATGTGAAAATAATTGTGTATGTACAATTGTACTCCTTCAAGAGTAATTGTAAAATGGGAAGACATCTTCAGACATTTAAGGACTAAGTTTAATACTATCAAATCAGATGCTGCAAAAACTACTACAGGACATAATTCATCAGAAAAAAATTAAATCCAGAAGAAGTGGGAATCAAGAAAATTGGTGCACAAAGAAACTAAGTATTGTGATGATAAAAATACATAGGTGTTTACTGTAAATAATTGAGAAAATATGCTTCTCTTTATCTTTAAAACATGTTGGAATTACAATTCCAGACAGTAGTAGCAGGAAAATTGGGAGTGAGGCGATCTAAGGGATATGAAGTATACTAAGGTCCTCTTTGGTGCATTTTGTTAAAAAAAATTGTAATGGCACAGATACGTTAAAAATTTGAGGGCAACCACTAATACAATAGAAATAAAATGTATAACTTACAAAGCCGTGTAAGAGAGAAAAGAACAAAGAGAGGAAATTATATTGTATCAATTCAAAAAAGACTGTTAATGAGGGAAATAGAGAAGTAAAGCAAAAGTATATAGAGAACACAAAATAAAGTGGTAGAAATAAATCCAAAGGTACATGGAGGAAGCAATTACAGAATAAGACTTTGTATATAGCATTGATGTCTATTATGTAAAATTTTAAAATCCTTAATAATTATAATATGCATGCAGCATATATGTGATCAACTAGATACAATGTTTTAAATAGACTGAAAGAATCAAATTCATCAAACTCATGATAGTGTTTGAGTATTGGGTGAGGGGTTCAGGTAAACTTTATATGTTTATGATTTGTGTATTAGAAAAGAGACAACATAAATATAGCAAAATATTCATGATTATTAATTAGGGGTGAAAGAAACCCAGGTATTATTCAACTTTCCTTTGCATACCTTATGTTTTTCTGTTTTTAACAAAAAATATTTGGACTGGATTATCATTCTATGTCTAATAATTTATTAACTCCAAAGCACCCAGGTAGCTATAGGCAGAACCAGGGCTAAGACCAACACTTCCTAATTTCACATCCATGTTTTATTTTCATTCATTATACCAACATTCTAGATGTTCTAGTTATAATCAGTATAACTTATATTCAGT